TAATGTCACACTAAACAACTACAAGAAGTCTCATCCTTACGTATAAAGTGCATAGAACCATAGTGTATTTCATTTTAAACTATGGAAAAAATACTCTTTATTTCTTTCTTTATTTTTGTGATTGAACTTGCATTGTCAACAGGTAATGACTATACAAAGTTGCTTTAAAATTAATCAATAGGTTCTTCTTAGGGGTTTTTAAAAAACTATGGTACATTTTCAATCAAAATTCATATTATGTCCATTACATTTAGATCATATTGAAGAAATGATCAGTCTCGTAAATTCATTAATTTTGAACTGCAACTTATTTTTTGATAATAATAGCACTAATATTATTACTAATAAAGATGTTTTCAAAATAATGGTAATTAATTATAGTATTATCTTTCAGTTCATACAATTTAAAAACTATAATTGGCACTTTGGAAGTCAATGAAAGAATACTGTTGATGTTACTAAAACCGAAGGGTAAATATATCTTGTTTTCTGCCCATATAATATCTCTTTACTGACAAACAGAAGAAGCTGCCAATTCAAATGGAACTGTTGCTAAAATCTCTCCTGGTCTGAGAGCTTCTCTCATTATCACCAATGAAATGGACACAAGTCCGGACCAAATAGTGCTAGTGGTGAAATATGTACAAGATGGGGCAAGCTTCATTGCAGGACTGGAGCTCAATTGATATACTCTGGATTGGTTGGTGGTGGTCATTATTACAATCAGAAAGGTAATATTGGAAGATATCTTTGCCTTCCAAAGTATCTCCAGTACCTAAGCACTGAGGCACCTTTTGCTGCTTCATACATATATGGAGCTGAATATGAAATAGGCAACAAGGTCTTTGGTAAAACAACACAAGATTATAACGTCCCGTGTGCTGTTTGTCTTTCTCCAAAAAAAGGAACCAAACTTGTCATCCCTGCCTGTGTTTCATGCCCATCAGGCTGGACAGAAGAATACTACGGCTACTACATGTCAAGTTATCATGGACACAATCTTAATGTTAATCCTGAATGTGTTGATCATGTTCCTGATGTCATCAATGGCAGTGAGGCTAACACAAATGGTGTATTGTTTTATTTCATGCAAGTCACCTGTGGAAGTGGTCTACCTTGTGGTCCATACATCACTGACAGAGCCATCACTTGTGTTGTATGCACAAAATGAATTGATACTAGATCTAGTTACTGAACAATTAGTAGTTTGAACTTAGTGAACTTTCAATCTTCCATTCTTGAAACTTTTACAAAATGTTACTTAGATTTGGCCATGCTAATGCACATGGTTAAGTAGTATATGGACCTCACATGATTTTTTATGGGGGGGGGGGATAAGTGACATGCTGTCAGGGTTGCACAAAGTTCATGTTTCATAAACTTTTCAGCCTTGGCATGAACTTTTCATTAACTACTTTTTTCATAAACTTTTCATGAACTTTTGAGACTTTTTATAATTCAGTGTTTGAGTAGCTTTAATGTCCATTCATTACCTATGCATTATACAGAGTTTTGCATTGCTTAGCTCCCAAGTGTTTGACTATTTCATCATAGATATTAAGTTATAAAGTAAATTATTATAGTTATTAATAGGGGTTATAAGTAAATAGTTACCAGATCTGCTATTCACTTTGAATGGGAATTTGATTCAACTTGGTGTTTCTTGGGTGCAATTGGTATTGGACTGATACTGATAGTAATAATTAACCTACTTAAGAAAACTAGCTTTAAAATAAGGACAGATTAATAATATTAATTGTTTACCATGAATGTGTTATAGTCTCATCTCTGCAAACCAATGCTATTGGTTATAATGCTTATATAAGTGTAGCTTCTCAATGTGAATCTCAATCATTATGTATTGTATAATTTAGGATATCTACATGGTGCAACTATAACTACAACTCAAATTTTTGAACTTTCACCTTCAGGATGATAATGATATCTGCATGTGATTGATTTTATAAAGGAAGGTAGATGTTTTGTTCATACCAGACTGAAATAACATCCAACTTGCTTTGGTTGATATATGAATGATGCATGTAGAAGGAAATGAGTGCTAGATACATGGGCAAACAATTGAAGCTGACTTTTATTGGGAATTTGGGAGGCTTGTACAGTTATTGTAGTTGCTATACAATATGCTTCCAAGTATACTTACTCTATTCAGCTTAATTGATTTGCTTTTAGTCCAAATTTTGTTAAGAATACAAGTAAGACAAACATGAAGTGGTTTCAAAACAATATAGCGAGGATATATAAGTATTCAGCTCACACTTACTGAATCATTAAACACAATTCAAAACTTGACTACTATAGTTCTGTGAGAAGAAACCAGAAAGAGAGAGAAGATGAAGGTGCTTATAGTTCTTGTTGTGATGGTTGGATTTCTGTATGGCATTGAGTCAAAAAGTAAGAAGAAACATGTGTGAATAGTGTTTTTTAATGCATGCATGCAGTGTAAATGTTTTTAAACATATCCCTTGTATTATTTTCTTATTTTATAGCTTTGGTAACTGAGAACGAGATGCAAGATGAATCTGAAGATAGCATTGCTGCTGATATTGAGAAGATGCCAGCTGAAGGTTTTGAAGAAACTGAGAAACAGTTACAACAGGCACCATTGGATGAGGAAGAAGAACCTACAGAAGAAGCAAAACAAGAGGATGAAGGTACATGTTATACATGAGCTTGACATGTATTGTATAGTTTTGATGATTAACATGTTTATGCTAATTACTAATTAACTACATCTGCATACCACATTGATTGTATCTATTCTTAATAATTTACTATTGCTATTATAATATTTTAGTGCTTGCTAATGGTTGTAAAATAACCAGGAGGGTCCTTGGTTATTTCTATCGACCAGTATCGCACAGTGCAAGGCAATGCTTCAGTGTCCGTGTTCCCTCAACCAGGCCGGTTTATGGAACAAGATGCGTAAACCACAGTTTCAAGTACAATAATAAGCAATATTACAAACGTCAGTGTTTCACTGTGCGACTGAGTATCAGAGTTGTATATACTACTGCCACAAGATGCTGGACATACACAAAATTCTCCAGGTTTAATTATACTTATAAGTGGCAGAGTGTCACTTTTCGTTATTGATCTGCAGGTAAGTTGTCCTAAATAATTCATTTGTTATGATTTCTTA